TGGCCTTTATGGGCCCAATGGGCTTGATCCTTATGGTATATTTGGGTTTTCTGAGATTGTTTATTAACTAGGGTAGTAGTGGGCTTTAGAATAAGACCCATATGGGGATTGGGCCCAATTCAGAAAATTGGGCCCATGTTGTTCTTTACAAATCAGGTGGTTTTGGGCCTTTTTGGTTTTTGGTTGTGGTCTTGGTTTTGGTTCAAGTTGGACCAAGTGCAAAATGGTCATTTTACCCCAAGTATAGATTATGGATCATGGTTTGGAAACCAATTGCTAATTGGATGATATTTTGGTATTGTTAGCTCGGGAATTTGTCAGTGCAGTAGTTAAGGATTTATTGTAGTGAGCTTCAGTGTTTTAGGTGAATCTCCCTTCGTAGAATCCGTTTTTCGAAGGCACCAAGGCTGACCCACTAGTATTGATATGCATTAATGATTGTATTTTTGATAATTATTAAGGTGGTTTGTATTGTTTGATGTCTATTTTGTTGAATTAATGTCTAACTCAATAACTATAATTGGTGAGACTTGACCCGACCCGGCATGGTCCATTTAGGTTACATGGCACATGCATTTGGATAGACTATAATGAGTGAAATAACAGTTAAGGTTTGCTAATATATTATAAGATTATTTAAATAGTATTGATAAAGAATTAATCTAGGATTAATCAAGTGATCAAAAGAAGACTAATTAAATATATGGGTTGATTGTGAAAATCATTCATACTTATATAGTGGGGTAATGCTCCATGGATTCTCAAGTTGGGCTAAAACCCATAAGATGCTCCATGGTGTATTTGTACCCATGGATCATGGAAATGAAAGGTTATGACAATTAGGGTTTACATGGTGTAACCCTAATTATATAATGATCTTATTATTGGAGAAAATCGGCCACTATGAGTGATAGGAAGGGGTAGACAATTTTCATGAAGCGTGAACTTCTCTCAAGTCATTCCATGTGTATTTGGTGTTGTGTGAACCATTTGAGGTGTCACAGTTGGGGCACTAGGCACTCAAGCTTCATGAAGACAATCTACATCAAAGAGGTATGTAATTCTAACTTGATATATTTATTTGAATCAATGTTATTATGCTAGTTAGGATGAATACCTTGGAAATATCATATTTGCATGTGTAATAGAGAAAACATAGATCCAAGGTATTTAGGGTTGCATGTACACTTATGATTGTTAGAATGCTCAAGACCCAACAATGGTATCAAAGCCTATGCTTGTTTTCAATTATACTTGATGCAAATTGCTAAAAAATGTTGAAAAAATCGATTTCCTGGCTTTCTGGGCATTGGACTCGCCAAGTCCACTGATGAACTCGTCGAGTCCAAGGGAAAACTCATCCTACTCGTCGAGTAGGTTGATACACTCGACAAGTAGGAGCCGCAGACAACATATTTTCGAGTTTTTTTTGGCTAGAAATGGACTAGGAACATTACCCTAAGCTGTTTTTGGACTTATAAACTTGTTTTTGATGTGGTAAAGTTCATGCTAATCCAATTTCAAAGATAATTGTCAATAGATTCATGTTTTGTGTTAGTTTTGTGATTAGGCTAATTACATGAAAAAGTTTGATTTTAATTATCTTTTTTCTTATGAGTTGCATAGATTAATAGAAAAGTTCATTGATTATGTGTTTTCAATCCATTTTAATCTACGAGTTTATTCTAAAATGATTTTTTTTGTAACTTGTCCTCAAGTTATATGAAAAGTCATATTTAAGTTTCATAAAACTCATAAAAGTTGGCAATGGTTACAAAAAATGAAGAGTATTAATGATTAATACTAAGTAACTAAACCTTTTATAAATACCCAATCTTAGTTACTTAAGAAAAAGTGAATAAGGTGCTAACCCATGAAATTACACTTTGCACTTTGCTTAAGTCGTTAGTGGAGCGTGTGTGGTTAACCGACAGACTAACCTAGACTTACAAGGTAGCCAAAGTGTAACTTAATATTTATCATAGTATCGGTGGAGCGTGTGTGGTTAACCGGCACATCAATTAAGGGGTAAATATTAAGGGTAGCCAGTATATTTTCATGGTTACTTCACACCTTGTTTTGTGATCCTCAGCATCCTAGTCACAAAACCTGAAGGGTGCACTCGAGATTGAAACATGCCATTGAAAATTTCAATGAATCTCAAAAGATCTAGGAGTTTCAAATCCAATTAAAACCTATTAATACATTTCGTTTATCTTGGTGGAAATTGGTGAATCATCATTCAACTACCTTCAAATATTTTCTATCTTGGATTACGACATCCCTCTTCCAAGTTATAAAAGTATTGTGTTGGGTCCTAGCCTTAATATTTCATATTGGGTGTTATATTAAGGACTTTAAATCAACTATCTTGAATATCTCCCAAAAAGATGTCTGGTTTAGACATTTATGATCTTCCCAAATCTCTTGAAACAAGCTTTCCTAAATGAAGATGATGTCCTATGGAAATCACACTTCTTTCACCTCCTCCAATTATTCTCCGTAACCCACAACTTCTTGAAAAATTTAAGCTTACTCAATCCCTATTTTCAAGTAAATGTCTATGTGTGGTCACATCTTGGAGATGTAGTGACATATTGACAAGCCGGGAGAGTTGCGTATCAAAGTCTTGAGAAAGTTGGTGGTTCAATCACTTTCTAAGTCACAAAGTGAGTTCCTTTGGGACTCCTATGAAACAAACTATGACAAGACCCTAAATGATGTTATCTATTTATTAAGATCAACTTCCTAAAACTTGTGGACATTGACAACAATGACATTGGATATTCAGTAAAGCTCTCTCTTCCCAATGGAAAGGGATTGTCCATAGTCAACTCGGTTGACCAAATGGTTAAGAGAAAGGTTAAGTCTGTGATAGTCCCATGTTCCATTACTAAAGCGTCCATATGTTACATTGCCAAAGGAAGGGGCATTGGTTGTGAAGCTGCCAATTTACCTATGGATGTTAAAGTTAATATGTTTGACTCTACTTCAGGTAAAGTCCACTATCTAACTCTGCTAAGTTTCTACTCTGAGATTCTTGATACATGATGTGACTGGGTCACATGGTGATGTTTTAAGAATCAAAGAAAAGTGAAGAAACTTAAAGAAAGAATATGCTGAATCTGATCGCGTAGATGGATTTCTATCGCATAGTTTGAAGATCAGATTCTTGACCTACTTCTTAGGAGTTATGAGATATTGCATAGGAATAGATAACAATAAGTTTTCATATGGATTGTATGGATAAGTTTTTCCGCAAAGTTTTAAAAATAAAAGGAAATTTTTTTTTATTTATTTTATGTATCCTTACAATGGCGTTTGTGAAAAGATTGTTGCTTATATGATTCCATTAATAGCAAGAGTGGAAATATGAAATTTATTCTTTCATTTTTGGTAATGTCTAAATTTATCAAATAAGGAAAGATCCTCATCACCCAAGTTTCAATTGGACTGGAACTTGGAATAATGCAAGTTGTATAGCATGATGAATGAGAATTTTTCATCTTTGGAAAATTAAGACTAACTACTTGTTCACAAGGATGTATGAGCCAAGTGAAGGACTAAGGGATCGAGTACACATTCTTGTGTACTGATCAATTCCACCACGAAAGATCGAAAAGATTATTCGTCATAATTTACTAAAGCTTAGTAAATATGGTTATAGTTACAAGCTTAAGTGTAATTCCGAGACATTGGAAAAAGGTTCCAATGTATGACAGAGCGAATAAGAAGAATCAACTTAGGCAGAAAGTTAAAAGTTTCTCAAATATGAAAAGATGGGAGAGTACTTTAGTATCAGTTTTTGTGATCATCTTAATGATTAAGAAACAATAGCACAATTAGTTCTCTAAGGAAATCTTAGTGCATTCTTATGACTAAGAAGAGGAATCTTGAATTATTGAAATGGTTAAATCAAGAAGATGAGTTATACTTTGTTCCAATACAAGCCTTAGAGTCATACTCCAAGATTGTAACTTGAGTGACATGTCTTAGAGAAGGTTTAAAACACATGTCAAATGTAAGAGTAAAAGTTTTCTACTCTTGTACATTTGAAATTGGTAAGTTGTGATGTTTTGGATAAAAGAAAGACCAACTAAGGCTAATTGTGTGAAGTGTTTATCTTGATTAGAATCCACACTATTGAAAGTCTCAAGAACTAATCAAGAATAAAACCTGAAGTTCTTCACTAGTATATGACTTGAGGTTGATAACCTATGGTGTTAACATATTAAGTGCCAATTCCAATTAAAGTTGGATTTGCATATGAATTATTAGAGTTCTCAATTGGTTGGACAACAACTTGGAAGCAATGGCAGGCCCTTGAGCTGCTAGGTGGCAAGAAATTAAGATTGAGTTCAGTCCATATGTGTTTGGATTTGTCATTATCCTTGTCTTGTGACTATGGTTTTGACAATTCACATGGATAAGAACACATACACCTAGGGCTGTTAATCGGGTCAACCCGATCGGGTTTCGGGCTAAACGGGTAGGTTTAGTTGGGTTTTTCTTTAAAAGAAATTGACCCTAAACCCGACCCTATTAAGGTTCAGGTTAGTGGGGTTAGAGTTAGTCAGGTTTCGGATTAACCGGGTTGGGTTAGTTGGGTTAATCGGGTTAAAATAGAAATAAAATAATATTTTTTTATTTTAGCAAATAACGTAAAAGTATAAGGACCTTAAATGTAATGTTTTAAAAAGTTCTCTTTTTTTGTGGAGTTTGTACATGGATACCCAACGTGGGTTCACAAAAGTTGTAATTCATATATCAAGAATTTTGGTAGGTTCTCTGTGAGTTCACAAACTCACTATGAACAGTAGCATTAGTAGCATTTATCAAATATATATATATATATATATATATATATATATATATATATATATATATATATATATATATATATATATATTTTGCATTCTTGTAATTTGTATTTTGTTAGTTTATACATCACAAAAATATAATATAAAATAATTGTTGAAACACTCCATAATAAAATTTATGTCACGAGCAATAGTTTAACATATTAGCAAAAAAACCAAATGAGTTTGAAATCAAGTGTTTATATCCAAAATAATTGAATTGGCAAAACAAGCTTCCTTTCTTTCATCTGTTACGTTCAAAATTATAAGTTTGCACCTTCTTGTTCAAGCAAAGCTACATAAACAAAAATAATTAGCAACATATAATAAGGTAAATTTAGTAAAAAAATTATAGACGATTGAAAGTACCTTTCTCCAGGAGAATTATTGTTTCCCAAACTTCATCTTTTTCCGTGTTAATACTTTTACGAAGCCAATCTTGTGTACAAATTAGGCTTTCGATAGTTTTTTCGCCTAAAGAACTCCTATATGAATCCAACACCCTTCCGCTCGTGCTAAATACCGACTCCGAAGCCACGGTTGAGATGGGAATAGCTAACGAATCTTTAGCCATAAGAGATAAAATTGGAAATCTCGGGCTATTTACCTTCCACCAAAGTAATATCTCAAAACTACCATTTGTATCAAAATCTTCAAGACTTTCACCCAAATACTTATCCAATTCACTAATTGATAATGATGATGTTTGGCTCGTTTTCATCCTATTTCTCAATCTATCTCCATGATCGGAATTTGTTGTGGTAGATGTAGGATTATTGGGGTTTGGCCGTTTTCTTGATGTTGAAGTTGAAGAAGTAGTAGATGGTGGGGCATGAATTCTCACATAATCTTCATACAAAGCTTTTAATTCATTCTTTATGTGCATTTTCTTTAATTCAACAACTAGTTTTACATCAAGCCCATAATGATCATCCAAAATAATTTCCAAAAATTCTTCCTTGTTTCTTGGATCAAGTATGAAGGAAAAATATACCAACAAATTCATATTTTCAATATCACCAAAATATTTGTCGAACTTAGGTTTCATCACCTTAACAATACCATAAAGATGTTGATCCGTTGGTTGTTCTTCTAAATAATCGCATTGAAGTTGTTCTACCAAAATATTGCGTATTTTAGCTAACTCAACCACAAGAATGTGCGATGTCACATACTTTGTCCCGGAAAATTTCAATGTAACATCATGAAATGTTTTGAGAAATTGTCACAACTTTCTAGCTTTTGTCTAATCTTCCGATGTGGGAATCGAATGACCTTTGTTGGGTATTTCATTACCAAAACTATCATCTTCGAAATCATACCTATCAAAAGCTTGTTCATAGGCTTGAGCTACTTCCGACATTTCGTAGGTGGAATTCCACCTAGGTGCAACATCAAGGATCAAATGTTCATCTTTAAAGTGATCCCAAACCCATGATCATTTTTCTAAAGCTCTTTGTGGTTTGACATGCTCTTGGATTTCATTTTGGATTTCATCTTGGGTTTCATCGTTATTATTGTTTCTATCAATTTCTATTGTTGTTTCATCCTCAAATTTCATTGCATCTGACATCTGTACATTAGAAAAATCAATAAGAGAACCATAAATATTTGATAATAAAATTAGGTCAACAACACTTTATTTAAGATTTTATAAGCTCCTGTAAAATAATTTATAAAGTTCACAATTCACAAAGCCTTTTCACCTCAAATTTAATGTATTTAAAATTACAAACAAACATCAAACAACATTTTTTTTAATATACAAACCCAAAGCATTAGTTTAAACCAACAGGAAAAAAAAAGTAAATTCATATGCCAAGAAACAACCAAATTCATATGTACTTCTTTATTTTATCTTGTGTTGATATTTAGTGTAAATTATAATAATGGTGATTGGTGAAAGTAACCAAACAAGAAACAACAACTCAATTTTTATGTACTTCTTTATTTTGTATACCTTTTATTCATTCCCACTTTCACGTATGAATCGGTAACATCGAACAAGTTGACACCACAAGAAGACAAGAACCATTAAATCCTTTAACTTCCAGCCATAAAAATCGATCAATACAAATTCACAAAATTTATTATTTTTGACTTTTAAAAAAAACAATCCTATACATCATTAATTAATGGAATTTGATTGAGAACTACAAACAATATAATTCTGCAAATACTAAATACATATTCAGAAAACATAATTCATGGTTCTAATTTTCTGCGACAATAAATAAACAATGCTATTGTGATTTTAAGAAAAGAAGCAAACACATTCTCATGAAATACGTATAACATATTCAGCGAATAAGCAAATAAATCGATAATGGGAAGACGATTGAGAGTTTAATACGTGAAAACAGAAAGATTCTATAGGATCTTATTGTTATCGTGTTCTTGAAGAGGATTGGAGAACTTGACGACCAAAAAAAGTACTTGCGAGTTGCAAGGGTTTAAGTTGAGACATATCTGTTGCGACTTACGAGGGTTTGAAGCATGTGTTTTTTACTACGCTTATTATTTTTGCATGACTAACAAGTAAATAACATAAGCCCAAATAGTATCGTACAGTACAAGTAATAAGAGCATGTTATTAATTATAACCTTAATCGAGTTAATCGGGTTAACCCGAACCCGATGAAGATAGATTTTATACACCCGAAACCCGACCCTATACATATTACGGGTTATTCGGGTTGATACGATAAACCCGATTTCAATTTTAGACCCGATTAACCCGACCCTATTTACGTTATTCGGGTTTGGGTTCGGGTCATTTTAGTCAGGTTCGGGTTTTTTTGACACCTCTACATACACCATTAAATCTAAGTGTCATAAGGTTCCTCTCCGATTCATGAAAATGATGGTGAGGAAACACTTTCACTAAGTAGATTTTAGCTAGATAGCAATTGTGATATTTGCATTCTCAAAGTCATTAGTAGAGCGTGTGTGGTTTACCGGCACACTAACATGGACTTGTGAGAAGTGACAAAGGTCTAAACAATCAAGACTATGATTACGGCATCCCTTTTCATAGTTGTTAAAATTGTTTAGACACACCTGTGAGATATCTAAGATAAGGTGTATGATTATGATAAAGTTTTATCAAACCAATCTAGAATCAGAAATCGGAACTTTGGTAAGAAAGTCAATAAAGTACTGATTTCTAGAAGTCCAGCTAATTTCTGAGTACATGTCAAAGCTAGTAGGAGCATAAATGTTATGCTAATAATCATCATGTTAGTGGGAGCATGATAATTATGATAAAGGTCGCAAGTTAGAAGTGTTAATTATAGAAAACAAAAGTTTCAATTGGGAAAGAGTTGTTTTGCTATAATTAAGGGAAAGGAAATTATACTTCATCTCAAATCTATAAGCTTAGATCTTGAGATTTTAATCAATTTATATATATATATATATATATATATATATATATATATATATATATATATATATATATATGAATGATATGTTGGAATGGCTCAACATAAGAAAATTCTATATATGGGTCCATTATTTGCATTCTAAAATTCGATTATGATTACGGCATCCCTTTTCATAATCTGAATTATAAGAACTTGGAAAATTGAAATAGAAATATTATAGCAAAAGACTGGTTTAGTTTTTATGTGATACATCTTGAATCGTGTCCCATATGCTTCAGATATAGGATCGATTACACGTGCTATATTCATCCTTTCTATATTTTTCCAAATGTCTGGGGCATTAAGAAGGGAAAAGGTCTAGAATTAGATATTACTAAAAGGATTAAGCAATTGTTGAGGAAAATATAATGTTTACCAAAGATTGATTGCTCAAAGATAGTTGGAAGTATAGTGTTAATTGTTGGAATGACCATATTGATATAATCTGTAAGGACGCAACTCTTGTTCAAAAGTGATAGTCAAAATGGAATCTGGTAATGTTTCAAAGTTAGAAATTATTCAATCTGTGTAAGGTTAGGAAACTTAACGCAAGAAGGATGTTTCCAAGGAGATGATCTCCATTGGAATGCTCTGTAATGGTTGTTGTCAAGTCTTTCTGACTTCGTGCATAATCATTACAAGAGGATCAATGCATATAAGTTTAGAATCTAATAGATTTCAGTAAATGGCATGAATTTTGAATTCTAGCATTTGTAGTAAGGATTTGGGACTGTGAAATGAGAATCATTGGAATTATGGTCAATCGATCTCTTTCACTAAGTAAAGATCATAGAAAAACATAGTATGCATACTTGGTGTATGTCATGACTAGTGTTTAGAAAATCATAGTGTACATGCTCGGAGCATGGGACAACTAGTGTTTTAATTCAAGAATAAAGTTGATAGCTAAAACAGTATACAATGAATAATGTGTAATCATATGGTGATAAATAAAAGGTGTTTTATTTATGTTCATAGGTTTTGATACCATATTAGATTTAATTATTCTTGTGTTTCATTTTGCATGTTTTGAATTCCAAAATAACTAGGTTCCTCTTCCTGAATGACTAAGTTATTCAAACCATCCACAGTTGGTCATATGTTGGAAGTAGATATGAATCAAGACAGTAATGGGTTATCTTGTAGAGGTCTAAGATGTTGGACCAAGGGCTACAACACTCATGAGTGCTCATAAGTTATGAGTATTGGATTCAACCCACGCTCATTGGAATCACTTCATGGATTTTATCACAAGTGATCATCAGACGATAATATCTTATATTCTACAAACCTAGAGATATGAGTTGTTACTATGAGTTGGTTTTACATTGATTGCACGAAAACGCATTCGGTAACTCGATGTTATAAAACATGCCTTTGTGTATGACTCAACAAGTAGTAGAACAAGCCATATGAGTCGAAGTTTATCAATTCCTTTTACCTTCGGGATAAAAGTGATATCTGTGGGCCCCTCAATGATTTGGTGATGACAAATGTAAGTGCTCGGCCGGGCCAGGACTAATTTGATTTGTTCAATTAGTCAGTCGTCATAAATCAGAAATCGGGAAACAACAAATGGACAGAGAGAATGATTATAATCCATGTCTTAGTCTATATGATATCTAGAATGGAGGAATATATGATCCCTTATCTAATGGACAAGTCATTGATAAAGGTTAGAGACCATCAGCAAGGTCGGAGTTCGAAAGAAGCTTTTGAGAGCTACGATTGCCAGACGGTTCTTCAAGTCATACGCAATAACAGTTTTAGACTTATCCAAGTGGTGAGACTTGACCCGACACGACATGGTCCATTTGGGTTGCATGGCATCATGCATTTGGATAGATTATAATGAGAGAAATACCACTTAAGGTTTGCTAATATATTATAAGATTATTTAATTAGTATTGATCAAGAATTAATCTAGGATTAATTAAGTGATCAAAAGAAGACTAATTAAATATATGGGTTGATTGTGTAAATCATCCATACTTATATGGTGAGCTAATGCTCCATGGATTCTAAAGTTGAGCTAAAACCCATAAGATGCTCCACGGATGCTCCATTGTGTATTTGTACCCATGCATCATGGAAATGAAAGGCCATGACAATTAGGGTTTACATGGTGTAACCCTAACTATATAATGATCTTATTCTTGGAGAAAATCGGCCACTATGAGTGATAGGAAGGGGTAGCCGATTTTCATGAAGTGTGAATTTCTCTCAAGTCATTCCATGTGGATTTGGTATTCTGTGAACCATTTGAGGTGTCACACTTGGGGCACTAGGCGCTCAAGCTTCATGAAGACAATCTACATCAAAGAGGTATGTAATTCTAACTTGATATATTCATTTGAATCAAGGTTATTATGCTAGTTAGGATGAATACCATGGAAATATCATATTTGCATGTATAATAGAGAAAACATATATCCAAGGTATTTAGGGTTTCATGTACACTTAGGAGTGTTAGAATGCTTAAAACCTAACTTATTTGAGATATGCATGATTTTATTTAGTGGTGGTAGGAAGTGAAATAGACCTGTTATCCGGTTAAAATAGACCGAAGGGGTAGGTCGGGCACCCAAATATGTCTGACAGTATGTTATGCATGATATTATATGGTAGTGGAAGGGGAGAAATAGACCCACTAACCGGTTGAAATAGACCGAAGGGGTAGGTTGGGCACCCAAATATTCCTAACAAGGGTAGGTCGAGCACTCAGATAAGCTTAGCTGTATCCGGTTGAGATAGACCGAAGGGGTAGGTCAGGTATATGTGGTATTTGGGGAACTCACTAAGCTTTATGCTTACGATTTTCAGTTATGTTTTAGGTACTCCAGGTTTCAAACGAAAGAAGCTCAGGACGATCGCAGCACATACACCCGTGTTTTCCATAATATGTGATCTTCAGGATTAGACTGTGATATTTGTTTCA